CAAGTAGTTCCAAGTCAGGACCGAGTTTATGTTTCAAGTTATAAACAAGTAGTTATAAGTCCTTCACTTAGGACTTATAACTACTTGTTTAAACTAACACAAGGCCATTTGCATTTTTTTTTTTAAACAAAGTATCAGTTATTATAATAAATGTATTGAGTACTTCAAATAAACTCTATATATATATATAGAGATATATAGATATATATAGATATATATATATATAGGTGTGTCTGTGACACGATAACAATCATTTGTAATTTGAGTTGAATGTTTTGCATAGTGTTAATATTTTGTTTGTTGAGTTGCTGCACATTAAAAAAAACTTGGGGAAATCATGTCATTCCAAGTCAAAAAGGGACTTGCTGGAGTCCCAAGTAATTGGTGTAAAACAGTCAAAGTTAAATTGCAAGTCAGTTCATAAGTTATGGGATTCACAACTCCAGTGAAAGCGAGCAGAAAGACATATACCGTATGTCTTCATGTAGACATTAGTCCCACTCAGAGTGGTAAAGCAAGCGTTATCGCTGTCTGACATCTTAAAAGAGCTTCTTACACCGAGGAACTTCTGCAGGAAAGCCTTGGATCCATTGATATCAATGCTGGAGATGCTGCCGTAGCCTCCCAGCATGCCGTCCACTGTGGGGGGAACCTCCTTCCAGTAGTCCTCCGCATTAGAGTAGAAGCTTGTCTCATTTTCTGCTATGTCTCCCATCCTGTCAGAGTCCACAGATAACACGGTTCACTCACAGGAAACAGTACACAAACTACTATCACTGCTCTCTATGGTGCACAGCAGCTGCTCCAGGTTACATTCTTAATGAACAGTCCACACCCGTTGAGATGTAGACCAGGGGAAGGGAAACCTTGCTCACTTTGGATCACCATGTCCCTGATAACAGCTGTCCCATATCAATCAAAAAGGGACCTGTGGTGTCCCAGTGTTAGCTGAAGTGACGGTGCATGAGCCTGATAGGTGGAGGCTCCCTTTTATGGATTCTGCATTCCAGTCCAACCCAAACGTGTTGAAGAGGACTGCTATCAGGATTCTGTGGGTGCCAGATCATCAACATCATTTCACCACAATGTTCTCCTCCAAACTGGGGCCACGGGAAGTTCCAGTTGCAAGAGGTAATGTTTTTTCTTTGTGTCTTCGCCTGTTACTAACAAATACCAATCTGCATTGAAAATGTACTGCCTGTCAGATTGCAAATGTGCTTTTCAGTATTCAGTGTTGTCTCTGTAGTTTCTCGGCTACTTATTGTCTCCTGTGAGCTGTCATCCACCTGTTTGTCAACTCTGTAATGAATGGTTATTCATCCATATTCATTCAGCTCTGGAGGCTGTGACTAAAAAGGACGAATGATCAAACTTCACACCCCAGCAATGTTTTAAGTGGACAGGGGGCTCCTATCACCTGCTCAGCATGCGAGACGAACACACACACACACACAC